TTTTAATTTTGAATAATTTTAATCCTTAAATTATTTTTTTGTACTTTTTTCGGCACCCTACCATGTAAAGTGCACATTTTTGGTACTTCTGTCGCTTTTTGTCCCTTATGTCTCTTCATTCTTTCCCCTTAAACAAAAAGGAAAAAGGAAATGGTGAAAACGAGACTACAATCACGGGGTTTACAAATAGGTATGGAGAGAAAGCTCACCGCTAAATGGAAATAAGGTGATTTTGACTAGCTTGAAAAGGATGCCTATGTACAACTGGTATTTTTTGTCCTAAACTTTGATTCATGTGCATTTTTTTTTCCTATATTAATATTTATTACACATTTTTAATCTTTGAATTTTTATTTCATGCACATTCATATCATTAAAAAAAATTGACAAAAATGCCAACTAGGGAGACTAGATGGAAAAATTAACGGAAAGATAAAAAAAAAAAAATTCATAATTGATGGATGAAAAAATTGTAAAAAATAGTTTAGGGCCTAAAATCTTTCAAAATTGAAAACTTAGAGACTAAAGTTGGCATTAAAGAGTAGAGAAGTGTGGTTATGGGTAAAGGAGAAGCGCGTAGAGATGAGACTTAATGTTGGTTTTTGAATTGGAACGGTTGGGGAGGTAAGGAACTTTTATGCCGCTGTGGAAAATTGTGGTGGGGAAGTATATATTATTTAAGGAAAATTTTGCAATTGGTTAAAAAGATGAAAAACTATCTGCAAATAATATGAGAAAATATGAATAAAAAAAATCATCAAATCAAAAGTCTTGCCTAATTATTATAATAGTGATGCAATTTACAAAGACTTAGTAATCTGGTAGCTAGCGGTTTAACCACTACAGGAAGAAGAAGAAGAAGAAATGGACGGAGTGTAAATGATGGGAACAAGAAAGAAATATGTAAATTAATGGACATCAAAATATACAAGAAAATAAAAGAAGATTCCAAGACTATAAGTATGTTCATTTAAGCTATGTGAAGTTAACCTTCCCTCGTTACACAAAAAAAAAAAAAAAAAAAAAAAAAAACTATGTGGAGTTAATTATAATATTACCTATAAAGCATTGAGTCAAGATTATACTATACTTCATTCCTCAAAAAAAAAAGATTATATTATACTTCCTCTACCTCATAATAATAAACGTTATACTTTTTTAAGAATTTGTTTTAAATTATAGTTTTATTATTGAAAACAAATATATTTTTTTATTTTAACATTATTATTATACATTAACTTTAATTATCCACCGTATTAGAGAAAAAAAATTTCTCTTATCTTTATTATTTTTTAAGGGTAATAAAAGTATAAGTGACAATATAAATTATTTCAAAATCCTTAATTTTTTAAGATAAAAAAAAAAAGGTCTATTACCATTGTTATAGGATGGAGAGAGTACATGTGTAAGAATAAGGAATTTTTAAGGATATTTATAATTTTAAATATATATATATATATATATATTCTTAAACTCCATTATAGTCCTGTGATCCTTACAGATTTAGGATTTTGCAAAGGAATACTAATTGTACAACATTTTAAAATGTATTCTACAGACGAGAGGACAGCACTGAGTGCTGTCATACTGTTGATATACACTCAAATAAGTGAAGAAAAATAATTATATCAAAAAAAGAAAGTGAAGAAAAATAATGATCTATCGTTTATCTTCTCTACAATACAAGCAAATAATTCATTTTAGAACATCATTACCTATGTCTTATATCTGCAATATGCATCAAACAACTCCAGAGTCCCAGAGACCAGTTTTATGATCACTTCTGTCATCTCCTCAGGAAGTTGAAGGCCTTTATTGCAAAAGCAAATATTACAGCGAAGAACACAACAAAAACAGTCACCATGACACCAGCTACACCCACGAAATCATGCCTATAACCAAGCCCTTGTTCGACTACCTGTCTTAGAGGCGCTGAGTGAGTCCCGTCTGATAGATTCACCAGTCTGTCATCGTCGCCATATTGTGAGGTCACAAGACCATACAGACTCCATGCTATGGGGTTTGCCCAGTAATACCATCTCCACCAAATAGGGATTCTCTGTAAAAATAGGCCAAACCAAGTTAATGAATATTGGAAGATTAAATAAATTCATGAAACCTGACTGCACTGTTTTCCAGAGCTCAGTAAACTGTTTATCAATTGCATACATTCTACAGATTATTCAACCTACAGTGAACCGGCTGCAGGGAACTTTAGCCTTTAGGTGACAAGCTCAAAATCAGAAATTATTCACTGATCCATTTCTCATGGAATTTGGGAAGAAATGCTAGAAATCATATAAGTCAAATGGATAAAAATTCTTCATTTGATAAAATTTAAGGCATGCCATCTTTAGAAAAACATTATATCTGAGAGGATTCTTCAAAGTACATTATGTGATTATATTCCAAGAAATTCACATAAATATTAATGAAATGAAGGATGTAAGCTATACTAGTCCATTGAATTATAGAACCAAGGGAACGCAGAAAATGCATGTCTAATTAGGCAAAACTAGGATGAAAAGCCAAGACAGCTGATCGATTACCTTATGGGGAATCATAAAGCCACTGAAAAGGTTCCAAAGCATATAAAATGGCGCAGCGATGATGGCGGCCACATTATGATTCGGTGTGATGGCAGTTGTCATCATTCCGTAGAAGGTGAAATATAGCAAAGTGAAGTACATAAAGAATATGTACCAAGTAAATTTCAAAAAAGTCCACTCAAATGAGGCCATTGAGTAGAAAATGGAACCGTAGACAATGGTCTGTGCAAATACATATGGAAACTCGATAACAACCTGCAGGCAAAAGAATAAATTAGCTGAGTTAAATGGAACAATTTTGTTCCACTCATTTAGAGGAGTGTAAACAAAGAAGCTGCACCTGAGCAAATGCAAAAGCTAGGGCTGAATACATTCCTGCAGCTCTTTCCCTATATGAAACAAATCTCTCAATAGAGACAACAGGCTGAACAGCACTAGCATTTGTAATTCCAATGAAGAGGACTGCTGCATACATAGATCCCATGGCATTAAACACGTCTTGTTGGCTTTCCCTGCAAGAAAAAGAATTTCAAATATCAGAGACTAATGGTAGGACCGTCCAAGGCTAGACTATAGGTGAGAGATCAAAGAAACTATTGGCAGAGACAAATGCGCAAACAAAACTGGCTATCAAGGGGTGCAATGAAACTAGTCTATGTTTGTATACATATACATAATAATATAATGATTAAAATGCTTTATGGTTATTCTAGAAGGAAGGAATGATGGTTAAGCTCCAATTATGTTGGACTCCACTTATGTTATGGTCAATTAGAAAGATACTTCCTTGCACTGCATTTCTAGAAGCATATCAAACTTCAAAGCACTGAACTCCAACACTGACGCCAATAAGAAAGCATTGCATTATTTTAGCTAACCAACCTCTGCTAATGATAAACACATAGAAATAGGAAGAATAAACCTATATGTCAAAAGTTCATCAGATTGAGGCTAGTGATCTACCACTGCAAATTAAAAGAGATCTACTTCAATAGATTTACATCCTATAATCTTTTCTCATATTACACTGAACCATTAAACAGAAGGTGGCATACTGCAACAAGGCAAATTTTGTGGCTCAAATATCAACAAGAAAGAGTCAATGCAAGCAGAAAATCAGTTCATGATGCCAGAGAGAACTGATTACTTTCAAATAATAGATAAAATGAAGTGGGAAAACCTCTTTGAACCAAACTTCCAGCATATTGTCCCAAGCATCAATGAGATGACAACAGTGTAAAAGAATTTAACTGCAGTGTATTGTGGGTTTCGCCAGTAAGATAGATTTTGCTTCCAAAGGCATGCTAGAAATTGTTCAAGAAATGACTGGGAATACTTCGTAGGAAAATTTAATTCTTCTGAATTGCTACTTGGCTTGCTTAGATTTTCAACCAACTCCTTGTTACGTCTGGAGCAAGGTTAGGACAGTAAAGTTAGACGAAGAAATAAAGTAATAGTATTGTTATCAATTCAAAGCAAGGAAACTAAAAGGTGTACATACTGAAATAGAAGTGATCTTCGGTAAATTTCTGCAAAATCCACACCCAAACGTTTCTCTTCTGCTTGAGAAGTGACCTCAAGCATCCATGTTGCAGGATTATACCCAGTTCTGATCTTTGGTACTCCTTCAACTGCCTACAATCAGGAAAGATATAGTCTCAAGATCAATAAATTTTGTTTGCAACCAAACTTAACTATAAAATATCTGTGAATTACATATTCTAGGACAGAACATGCGGAATCCAACCTCAAAATACTTGATAAGCTCAGAAGACTTGGGGCCAAGTGGACCAGCATATATGAGCTCACCTCCACGCTTCATAAATAAAAGCTGCAGCAACAGATGACATAAGGGAGAGGACAGGAAATGAATATAAATGAATATGCATAACAACGTAACCAAACTGTCACTAAACTCCTGCCCTGCACCCATGTCACACAAAACAAGGTAAGCTAGTTAATACAAATTTTTGTTTCTTCTGTTGTTTACAGATGAGGGCACAGAAACACAAGGGAGGGGTGAGATGGGAAAGGGACCCCGTTAGGAAAATTCTCAACCAAAGTTTAAGAGAAAGACCTCATCAAAGGATTCAAAAATGTCTATACTGGGCTGATGGATTGTGCAGACAATTGTTCGCCCTGTATTTACAATGTTTCTCACTGTCCTCATTACGATAGCAGCAGCTCTTGCATCCAAACCCGATGTTGGCTCATCCATGAAGACAATAGAAGGGTTGGCAACTAGTTCAACAGCAATTGTTAACCTTTTACGTTGTTCAGTTGACAAACCATCAATGCCAGGTAGACCAACCAATGCCCCACTTAACGGAGTCAGCTCCACGAGTTCCATTACCTCCTCAACAAATGCCTGAAAATTCCAATTGTCAATAACTTGTCCTATGCCACGGGACACAAAAAGCAAAAGCATTTAGTGATTACCCTTTGTGTGTCAAAGTCAATATCTGATGGTAACCGAAGCCAAGCAGAGAACAGAAGTGATTCCAGAACAGTCAAGCATGGGGAGTGAATGTCATTTTGCTCACAATAACCTGAAATTCTTGCAAAATTCTCTTGCCTTTTGGGATAACCAGATATATATATGTCCCCTTCTATGGTCCCACCAGTTTTTCTACCAGCTAAAACATCCATGAGGGTAGTTTTACCAGCACCACTAACACCAACAAGTGCTGTAAGAACACCGGGTCTAAATGCTCCAGTAACATTAACCAACAGCTGCAATCTGTCTTCTAGTACCCCTTGTTGCTTTAGTTCCTGAATAGATACTTAGATAAGACATTAAGAAGAAAAAAAATACCCCAAAAAGTAAATGGCATTCAGAAATGGATCTATATACTCACCACAGGGACTTCAACAAAGTAATTGATATTGCTGAAAGACATAGAAAGTGGTTGAAATGGGAGAACCATGCCTCTCTGTTTGAAATATTTTCCTGTACCATGGTAAATGAATGACAATTCAGAAATTCAGCCACATACTAACAGAAACCAAAATGAGAAACAGAAAACAATAAGAAACAGGTACTGCTAACCATTTAGTGAGCCTGAATGTTCCAAGTAGTGTCTCAATTCAGTAACCACACTTTCACCTTTCCTTCTCCTGTCTCTCTCTTGCAGCTCTTCCTTCGAGAAAACAGCCTGCTGCTTCCCCACAGCTACAATTTTTTTTTTTTTAAAGAAATTAACTAGGGTAGACTGTAAGCTAAAAATGTTTTTCAGAATGTGAGAGTAGAGGATAACTTTATATTTGAGAAATACTCTACAAAGAAGGAGATGTCTTACGGTTAAGGTAAGCTAGAAAGAATGTGAACAGGATATTGAAAAGAACTGTGTATCCTAGCAAAGCACCAACACCAATCCAATACCAGTAGCTATCTGGAAACAAGCTGCGTGCTCTCAACAATGCCTGACCTAATGACAAGCCAGTATTATTTCCATCTCTCTGCAAGTAAGGGAAGTGCATACGACATAGTGAGTTATAACGTAATATCAAGAATATCTAACACTGCTTATTGTAGTACTATAAGTCTATTGAATTCTATACCAAGCCTGATTCTGACTTGGATTGTCTCTAAAATCATGCAACTTAATACACAAGAAGGACTTTAGTAACTGTATAATCGTGAGAAGGCTTTTATCAGAGGAATTGAAGCAATCCAATATTATAATGTTAAAACAGACCACAAGCTATAAAAACTACTTTTTCATTGTAAGTCATCATCCATGTAGCATAAGAATAATAATGAGCTTGAGATGAGAATTTAAACCTTCGACTATCATTTTCTTTTGCTAAAGATTTCAACTGTCCTCATTATTGGCAATCCACACAATGATAGACGAATAAATTATTTCACAGTATTCAAGAAATTAAGGAGGAAGAAGTGGGAAATGATTTCTTAACCTTATCCCAGGAATTCCCAAGGAATTCATTCACAGAAGCTGCATTTTGTGCATACATCAATGGAGAAATCCAGTAACCCCAGATCCACCAGCTAGGGATACGATCTGTCAAATTGTAGAAGACAATGACTAAGCGCACGTTATCAGCAATCATTATAAATAGCTATATTTTAAATATATATAACCTCTTGAAATAATATAGCCTCCAAGAGCCATGACAACTAGCATAGCGAAAGATCCAAATGTATTAGCAACTATCATATTTCGTCCCAAAGATCCAATGATGCGGAAGAGAGCTATGGACATCTGGTGCAGAGAGAAATATAAAAGGAACTGCCGAAGAAATCTGCAGATTTTAAGAGTAACATAACAAATGAATCCAAGTCAACAGTCAAAATGCAAGCCTCTTAAATATAAAAATCACCTGGTAAAATCAGGATCATATCCAATAGCATAGTATGAAACTGCTACCCAGAAGCCAGATTCGTAGAGGGAAGTTGGAATACTTAGCGCCCAAGAAGGAAGTGTATAAACCCAAGTTGGATAGAAGTGCAAGTCCCTATGCTTGTAAAGAATTGGAAGCTTGGCCACCAACATTGAAACTTCGGTAAATCCATTAAAAAGAATAATGACCGTGGAAAAGTACAGCGAACCTAGATACAAGCCTCCATCATCAATTGTACTATGATGCATTGTCGTCCGGAAAAAAACGCTCATGGTTATTAAGGCAACAATAAGAAGCTGGAGATAAGCAGATAATATTCATATATCAGCAGAAAATCTCAGGTTATGGGCAGCCAAAATGAAAATCCTAAACAAACTTTTTTGAAGTGAAGAACCTAAACAAACTGGTCTAACAGATCATTGGGCTAACTCATTCTGCAGAAGTTTCTGGGGTTGTAAAGTGAAAGTTATAACATTACCTGTACAAATTTGAAAACATAGATAAACGAATTTCGTTTCATTAGTAGCTTCTGCCAATCAAAGCTAGTCTTGAGAAGTTCACTCCTCTTCATGCCATAACGGGAAGTTGAGAGTGCTGCTGGATGGTTATAACGTTTATCGAAAGGAGTGTCTAGCTTCTCAGACAAGTTCTTCCCAATGGGATATGAGCGGAAGGCTTCAGCAAACTTTCCTGGAGGTATGTACCGATAAGGGCGGTAAGGAGCTGACCAGTATTGCTGCTGATCCTTCTTTGACAAAACCTGTTCACAAATGATTTGAGCAAATACCATGTAATAGATCAAAAATACAATACTCAAGCTCTAAAATACTCACTTCTTGCAAAAAGTCTGCTACATTCTTCCTTTCTGGACATTTAAATCCCATAAAAGCAAAGAAATCAAGAGCTGCATCACGAGGTCCCTGGTAGCATATCTTGCCCTCACACAGAAGTATAACATCATCAAACAACTCGTACGTTTCAGGAGCAGGTTGAAGCAGAGATATTACAGTGGTCCCATCCAGTGCATGTGTTGAATATCTCAGATATTTAATGATTTGATATGTGGTCGAACTATCAAGCCCATTAGATATTTCATCCATGAACAGGACTCTAGCTGAACCAACTAGTAATTCCCCTGAAATCATGTTTCTGCCAAATCAGCATGAATAAAAAGCATATAGCACTCTAGACCCTAGAATGCTGAAATATGAAAATACATAGCATACACCTGTAGTAAGGCGCTTCTTCTGGCCGCCTGAGATCCCTTTAAGCATTTCGTCCCCTACCAACGTGTCAGCACAGATATCCAGCCCTAAAATCTTTGTCAGATAATTTTAGTGCTTCAGGAAAGCAAACAGGAAACAAGTACATATATAAGAAACCATTTTGAAAGGCTAAGCAAATAAGTTAGTCAGTTTGATAGGCTAACTCATTGGAAATCCTACCCGGTGTGCAATGTCATGTGTACTCCTTTTTAAGATTAAACCATTTTCATTTCAATCAGCAGAAACCATTCCTGGTCAACCAATTTATCGGACTCAATATTAATTAACCTCTAAAGGAATAAGATAACATTGTTAAATTAAGAATGTTTAAACATTAGAACTGTTGTTTGCTATTTTCTTAATTTCTGGGTAAATACAGTGCTCAGTGGAGTTAAAACTACTTCACTGGCTCATTAATGGTTCTTTAAGAAGACACAAAAACAAGCACATAATAGTTACAAGGGGTTCTTTTTGCAGAATCTCCTCCTTTTTTTCATTTTTCATTTTTTTTTTTTTTTTATGGGTGATCTGTCGGGGGGGAGGCGTGGATTTGCCATACAAACTGAAATTGACATTAAATGGATGCTATGAATAATTGTTTTCTCAATGAAAAATCTTTGTAGCCAACTAACGGTTATGTCCCATAGAAGACAAACAAGATTCAAAAATGGAAGGTGTCAAGTGGAAAATCCAACATAGATAAATTGGTCTTAAATACAATGTGATTGATGGCCAAAAAGACAGGTGTAGTTACTAGATAAATATGTTTGAAAGGGGATCAGTAAACTACATGAGTGCAGGATGGTTAACACATGCATCCAAGAATAATCAGCAACTTAAGAATACCTTCATGATGTATTCTACCACAAGGTTTGTCTCTTGTCCCCCCAAAGCTAGTGACTACAAAAAGGGGATGTATACGTTAGTTACCAACTTTGGGCGCTAATGAACTAAACGGGAGTAAAATAGCACCATGAAACACCTACCTTCATAAATATATCAAGATCTTCATCAGGTTTTATCCCAGCAACCTTTTCTCTTCTTGCAAGTTCCAAGAGCATATCTTTTGCAAATACACAAATTAATTTCAATAACTAAGAAAACATGATATCAAGGACATAGATGTGACATCTCAACACTTACCATATTTGAATCCAACACCTTGGCAGCGCCCAGCAAACTCAAGGGTTTCCCTTACAGTCATCTCTGGCACTTGCCAGTCCTGTTGACTGACATAAGCAGACGTCCTTTGTGGAACAAATTCTTTTAGACAGTGTCCATTATATGTAATGCTCCCCGATGTCTTCAAAGCAACCAAAATTTCTTAATTAAAGAAGGCTAATAATAAAAGAGGGAACAAATATCATCATTGTTACAGTTCAGTGCTTTAATTATTTAGAGTTACATCTTTACACAGCTTCAAACACACAACAGTGTCCCCCAGGGTCCAGGGGCTATATGAGAGTTTTCATGATCATAATTTGAGGCAGGCAGAGAGGACTTTGCTTCGTGGGAGGAGAAGGGGGCAGTTAAGTTGAAGAACAGGTGGCATCTGGATGGGTGGGATCTTGGCAGCATTCATACTCAAACAACGTAACTATGGAATCTTAAATTTTTGAACATTGATTCAAAGGGCATTATGAACGCGGCATGTTTAGAGTATATACATGTTAGAAAATGCAAGAGAAACAAATTTGTAATACCTGCAAATGAGTTCCAAGACAGCCAGCAAGAGCCAACAGAAGTGTCGTCTTTCCAGAGCTTGGAGGGCCCAACAGCAGTGTCAATCTACAAAGTATAACAGTGACATCTCATATACAAATATTTTCAGAAAATTCTCCACTTGACGTAAAATTGGAAATCATAATATACCTTGAAGGCCTAATTATCCCACTAACATCATCTAAAATAGTCAGCTTGGATCTTCTGCCTTTGTATATCTGTAACTGCCTTAAAAAAGCCTGGACCACATTTACAATTAAGAAATGAAATTCGCACCCTATTGAAACTACCCATATCTAAAGTTAAATGTAAAGATTCTACCTCACACATGTTAAAAATAAAATTAGGAATTGTCGGCAGTGCTCTGCTTCCAAGAAGGACAAAAGATTCAACAGTAAGTTTCTGAAACCGAACCTCAATCTTCGGAAATTCCAAATCAACTCTGTACGATCACAAAACCAGACAAAATTATGATAAATTAAGTACGACTAAAAACACTCAACTGTAAGAATCCAAATAAACAAAATGCCAAATTAATCAATCTAATATATTATTTCCATACAACATAAAATAAAGACTCAGAAATTTCGATCTTTCGTTCTTTAAAAGCAGCAAAAGCCATTTCGGCCAATTAAATCTAATATTTCTATTATATTACTAAAGTATAACTACTTTCTGATTTCAGATGATATCACATCTTAGCCACAATAAGCAAACAGTCAAATTAAGTCAGATCACAAATGTTATAACAAACAGAGCACAACTTAATTGAAATCAAATTGCGCTCAAAACTCCATTCCAAACAACTAGACGCAACGTGAACATCAAGCACACTATGATAAAAATAGCATCATTACGCGTCAAATCGCTTTCTCATGCGATCAAAGAACTTCTCGGGGTCATCCTCGACAGAACTAACGAGGCGCTGAAGAAGCAACCTCTGATCCGAGGACTGAAGCTCGCTCAACTCGACCTCTCTGGGATCGCCAACCATGTCCCTGAATATCCCCCTGCGAACTCGCTCGTAAGTCGGCAACCGCTCCAGCGCCGCCCACCGCAACGCCTCCTCATCATCGTCACTCCCCTCCCTGAAAGACGCCGACCTGGACGAGAACACGTTGTCGGCGGCGTTCCACATCCTGCAATCTCAAGATCTGAGACCGAAACCTAGATCGAGAGAAGTTAATGGCTTAAGGAAGGAACTGAGTTTGAATGTGCGATTCGCATGTGCCTGCCTGCCCTACTTTGTGAAGAAAGAAGGTTATCTACATGTACTGGTTTTGGTGGTTGAGGTCTGCATTAATGGCGCGCTCTTTGTAGGTGTGCTGCATTATATGTTGTGAATTCTTTCCCTTTGCTTTTTGGTTGTTCACATTTCATTTACACTGCTTTTTTTTTTTTTCTTTCTTTTCTTTTTCTCTCTGCATCTGCTGTGGTGTACGTTAAAGTATGAGCGATCCTTGCAGGGGATGCTCATTAATAGCCGCGGGGAAGACAAATTATTGGCGGGTTTGGGTTTCTCTGGAAATCACTCTTGCGCGTAGATAAAAGTGTTCTACTCGCGCTGAAATTCTGACAGCTGTAAAGCGAAGGGTATGATGGGTAATTCGTCTCATGGTTAGAAAATGTGGTTGATGGGAATATAGAAGGGTTAATTGCCTAATTTAAGTACCTAAACTTTTAATTTTGAATAATTTTAATCCTTAAATTATTTTTTTGTACTTTTTTCGGCACCCTACCATGTAAAGTGCACATTTTTGGTACTTCTGTCGCTTTTTGTCCCTTATGTCTCTTCATTCTTTCCCCTTAAACAAAAAGGAAAAAGGAAATGGTGAAAACGAGACTACAATCACGGGGTTTACAAATAGGTATGGAGAGAAAGCTCACCGCTAAATGGAAATAAGGTGATTTTGACTAGCTTGAAAAGGATGCCTATGTACAACTGGTATTTTTTGTCCTAAACTTTGATTCATGTGCATTTTTTTTTCCTATATTAATATTTATTACACATTTTTAATCTTTGAATTTTTATTTCATGCACATTCATATCATTAAAAAAAATTGACAAAAATGCCAACTAGGGAGACTAGATGGAAAAATTAACGGAAAGATAAAAAAAAAAAAATTCATAATTGATGGATGAAAAAATTGTAAAAAATAGTTTAGGGCCTAAAATCTTTCAAAATTGAAAACTTAGAGACTAAAGTTGGCATTAAAGAGTAGAGAAGTGTGGTTATGGGTAAAGGAGAAGCGCGTAGAGATGAGACTTAATGTTGGTTTTTGAATTGGAACGGTTGGGGAGGTAAGGAACTTTTATGCCGCTGTGGAAAATTGTGGTGGGGAAGTATATATTATTTAAGGAAAATTTTGCAATTGGTTAAAAAGATGAAAAACTATCTGCAAATAATATGAGAAAATATGAATAAAAAAAATCATCAAATCAAAAGTCTTGCCTAATTATTATAATAGTGATGCAATTTACAAAGACTTAGTAATCTGGTAGCTAGCGGTTTAACCACTACAGGAAGAAGAAGAAGAAGAAATGGACGGAGTGTAAATGATGGGAACAAGAAAGAAATATGTAAATTAATGGACATCAAAATATACAAGAAAATAAAAGAAGATTCCAAGACTATAAGTATGTTCATTTAAGCTATGTGAAGTTAACCTTCCCTCGTTACACAAAAAAAAAAAAAAAAAACTATGTGGAGTTAATTATAATATTACCTATAAAGCATTGAGTCAAGATTATACTATACTTCATTCCTCAAAAAAAAAAGATTATATTATACTTCCTCTACCTCATAATAATAAACGTTATACTTTTTTAAGAATTTGTTTTAAATTATAGTTTTATTATTGAAAACAAATATATTTTTTTATTTTAACATTATTATTATACATTAACTTTAATTATCCACCGTATTAGAGAAAAAAAATTTCTCTTATCTTTATTATTTTTTAAGGGTAATAAAAGTATAAGTGACAATATAAATTATTTCAAAATCCTTAATTTTTTAAGATAAAAAAAAAAAGGTCTATTACCATTGTTATAGGATGGAGAGAGTACATGTGTAAGAATAAGGAATTTTTAAGGATATTTATAATTTTAAATATATAATTAATATTTTTAAAAATTAACTAATACCTTGTACTATAGGAGTGGTGATATAGATATAATATTTTTATCTACATATGATCATTAAATGAATGTATATATTTAATATCATGAATTTCAAATAAAAAAAGAGAGTTAATTATTTAAACTATACATAAACTTGTTAAAAATTATTTATAAATTATTTTCTTGGCGTAGGTCAGCTCATTTTATTTTTAGGCAATTCTTAGCTATAGTCAAGTGGATTGGTCATATAATCCCCTCTTTTTAGTTTTTAGGTTTATCAATTGAATTGTTAAATATATTTAATTAATTTAAAATTTAGAGTATATATATATTTATATATATGATATAATTGAATAAGTCCTCTGTTCTAAAATAATAATTGTTTTTAGAATCAAAATTTATGTTGAATTTTCATATTTTATGAAAGATAAATATTTCTTTCATACTTTAATTTCGTTTTTACCTCCTAACTTTAATTATTAATCATATAAAAAAAATTCTTTTTGTATTTACCTATTTCTTAATTATAATAAAGGTAAAAATATAACTAACCATCTATTGGTCTTATTAGAAAATATTCGATTTCTTTTAAATAAAATCTTGAGTTTTAATCTTGTGAATAGAAAAATAGGCGTTGAAAAGCTTCCCCTTATGAGTTTTGATATGACTCGATTTCAGATTAGCTGAGATCCAATATGATTAATAAATACCGAAAGGTTAATATTAAAAAAAAAGTAAAAATATAAATTGACAATTATTTTGTGATAGATGGAGTAGAATATTTAATCCAAAGTCGAAAATTCTTACACCATCTTAACTTTGCAAAGTGATTTTTATTTTTTTTTTGCACAATAGGATAAGAGGCTACTTTAAACATAATTTTTTCTTTTTTTGAAAGAAATTTACTATTAAATTACTTAGATTGTTAGTACTTATGAAATGATTCAATAACTGCTTTTTTTTTTTTTTGGAATTTAAGGTTGAACAACGAGAAGTAATCTTTTATCATCATTTTACTCATTTCAATTACATTCATCTCTACAATTTGAATTTAAAATTTTTTTACTTCTATTTAAAAGAGATTATCATCATATAATCAAACAGTTAGGTGGTTATCATAATTGCTAACAAATAAATGAAATTAAAAACAATATAAAATTATTGGAAAGAACTAAGTTCACGAAAGATGAATGAAATTCTAAATCTAAGAAATGAATTTTCCTTTAAGAAATGAATTCAATTTGATCCACAATGAGGATGGTAAACCCTTTTAACAAACCTGACAACCCTTAGATGAACAGCCTATGTGTCTTCACCTTAGGACCAAATATCAAGACACAAGACTCCAAAAGTCCAAAGACGTCATATCAGGTTAATCTAAGTTCCCAACTGCTAGTATCTGATTCCAATCTAATCTGGCGCTGCATCCTAACGAAGGGAGTCCCCATCGTACCAACCCTCTGGTGTTCAATTTCAAAGTTGTACATCAACAAAGCCAACGTGACTTTGAATAAGGTTTTTCTAACCTGCAATTTGATCAAATGTTAAAAGTGAATTTATTATATATTTTTTATTATTAATTAAAATAAAAAATTATGAAATTAAATTTTATTTCAACACTAATGTTACATAAAATATTTTGATTAGATAATTAATAAAATTAAAATTAATTTTTTTAATATAATTAATGATAAAAATATATAATAAATATATATTTAACACGCATGCATTAACGTGCCCTTTAAACATAAATTAGAAATATTCAATTAATTTTGATTTTGTTACTCTCCAAATTAAAATAATAATAATAAAAAAATGCTATTGTATGGTTTAAAATTTGAATGCATAGAGTAACCTTCCTGATGTTGTTTTTTCGATGTATCAAAATTTTTATTTAGAAAATGGTTACTCCAACTCATACATTGAGGTTGCACAGACTCGATAACCATTCATAGAAAAATGATTAGCAAACCAGAATAACTAAGCCTCTACTGCACAAAATTGTGGAAACTACTACCAATCTCCAAAACTAAACATTGCCTTTTTTTATTTTCCCTTGCTCGACTACAAACCTTTTTAATGTGATAATCTTGATTTATAATCTAATATAATCTGAATTATAAAATATTAGACCAATTAAAATTTATTAAAATAGAAAAAAATAATGACAAGACATCTATTTAACTACATCTGATGCAATTTTTTGCATGGAAGAAGCACTTGCCATTATTGTCAAGTAATAGACAATTTTCTAAGGCTAAGGAAACATGATCACGTGCAAACTTGAAATCTAACGAAAGGGAAAAAGTGAAATTGTCCATCATTTTCAAAGGTACCTTACCCTTAGCCGATCAGCCATGCATTTCCAATGTATATAATTTAATGAGAGCAATCTTTATTAATAATGCACCTATATTTTGGACTTTTTATTTTTGGCCTGCACCTATATTTTGGACTAAGAAGAAGGGTTTTGGAAAATATAGTGAATTATTGTACACAATTTTAGTTAGAAATAGACCGCTGTAGGTATGCATTGTGCTTGATTGCTAAAGTCTCACATGTATTGCTTTCATTCTTAGCACCTACTTTGATTGAAGTGGCATTGATATTATTGATTAATGTTGACTTCCAGCGTCACAACGTCTGTTTTCGGTTTATAATGCGCAGAACTATTTTTTTCATTTGCTTCTGGAGGATTTGAAAGTTCTCATTTGGTCTAAATTTTCTTCAGTACGTAAGCTTTGATGCTCTACCTAATTTGCTGGGATAATGTAATTTCCAAACCTACTCTAAAGGTTTGCCAGTACATACATTTTATAATAAGTTTTATTTGTTTTTTATTTAAAGTTGCATACTGAAAGACAACCCTCTCCCATCATTTAACTTATTCCATTTATATGTTACATGATTTAAATTCAAAACTTTTTATTTCTACTAGAAGAATATTATTGTTGAGTTAGTTAGATCGGTAGCTTTATATAATAGGTTCTAATTAATTAGTTAGGGGGTTTTGGCTGCACATAAAATTTCAATCCTATTGCAAATAGGAGTTACAAGTCCCTTCCTTTGATATTGCACTTCAATATTGTGCCATGGTTTCGACACTTCCACCCCGAAATTGTATTTCGTCTTAGATCCGCTCCATTCAGCCAATTCAAGAAATCAAGGCATATTTTCTCCACAAAAATTACCGACATTTTGCAGTAATTCGTCTATAATTTTGCCCCCCCCCCTCTTTTTGTGTCTACACGGTGTAAACAGAGTGCAAAGTGGTAAAATACTTTCAGCCTTAGCTTATTTTGCAGTAGGA